AAGACTCAGGAAGAGCAGTTTATTTCTTATGTTTAAGTCTCCTCTAAAACTGTGATGGGTCACAGCTTTTTCACTGAGTTGCTTTAGCGTGCCAGCTTGTCACACTGCTATCGCGGAATTTTAGTGGAGCATTTAAATTATCTATAATAACCCCAGAAAATCCCACTTTTTATTTGGCACAGATTTTTAAAGCTACCAGTTTTAGTTTTATTATAATTTCTAAAATAAGAAAATGAAAGAGTGCACCAAACAAGAAAAAAAAATTAATGCTATGCTTCAATTAACCTTTAGGGACTAGAAAACCATGCAAAATAGAATACACACTTGAATTTAGTCCCATTTAAATCAATGATGAAGCATACACTGCCATCCTTGGATATATAACTATTTTCCTCAGGATAATATATGTCCTCTCACTACGTTGCCTTGCCTTTAAAATTATATTTTTGTTTTAAAAGTAAGTGTTTTGTTATAATTTTATCCTAGGAAGATAAGAAAGGCATTATAGTGAAAGACAGAGTCTTTTATTGTACTGGCAAAAAGACAAGCTTTTGAACACCATTCTTGGTAGCACCATTTCTTGTATCTTTGATAAATATGTAGGACAGTATTGAGCATTGCATGTTCTTAGTTTCAGTGGCATATTCACTGATAATCTAATTATCATTCCATTTAAAATGTTTATACATAATGGAAGCAAAGGCTTCCACCTATATTCTGATCATTTTTAAATCTTTATATCTATTTAATTCAAGATAATAATAATTCTCCACATTCAGTACTGACTCCTTTGACCTATACAGATGATGAGTCTACCCACTGCTGGTGTTACATTATTACCTTTCTTTTCCATTTATTTCTCATTCTTTTTAATTCCTACTCCTTTCATCTTAACAGGCAGAATCTAAAAGATAGGGAAAATTTAGAGGAGATGATGAAGAACATGATATGACTAGATAGGTAGGATTAGCATTTGAGATAACAGAGCTAAAATGTGGTGATGTAGTCTTCTGAATTAACTTGCAGCTTCCCTTTGCATTCTCTTTTTTTAAGGATAGAAAGCCAGCGGCTGTCTTTCTTCTATTAATCATCAAAGATACTAGTTTTTTTCCTGTATAGAAGCCACCAGAATTTTTCATTGCTTTATTGTCACTCAGAAAGTATATAATTCTGGACCTCAATCTGTAGTATTCAGACAGCATCAGCATCACCCTGACAGATGCGATGGTGCCCAGTAGCCATTCAGATTGAGAAGTTGGCCACTTCGGTTTCTCCAGTATGATTTCTGCTTTACTGTGATCAATACTCAGAAGTGTGGCCCGCTTAGGCTCCAATTTTATTTGGAATAATTTAAAACAATTAGATAGACTTGTGTCCTGAAGTAGCAGTTTGCTATCAGGGAATACTGAAGATTTTTTCCTTTTGAAAAGAACTTAAAATAATCTTTTGCTGGAACGAAGTAGTGATGGATGATTTTGGTGCCCAATTAACTTTCTGTGTGGGTGAGAGAAGTCCTGGGGTGTGTTTGGATTCCTTCTGAAGCAACACTTGCAGCTTTTTGTCCTTCCTGCATAATGGAGACAATTGGCTTGGACACAACTGTCCTGGGGACATGATAGAGAAAAGCTGAGCAAGCCACTCCTTGATTTTCCCCTTCTCTGCCATATTTCTTGACCTTGAGTAGAACAAAATGTCTTCCTAGGTGCTCAGTTTTATGAAGATGCTTTAACATCTCTTTTCAGTTACTATGGGTGTATTTGTAAAGTTGTTTGTGGATCTTGTAGCTGTTTGTAGATTAATGAAGAACCTTCCTTTCTTGAGCTCCCACGTGTGCTTCAGGGAAAACAGAAGATGAATTGTTATTAAAAAGGGGTCATTAGTAAAAGAATCAAGCTACCCAAGTTTAAAGTTTTGCTGTATTTCTGAAACAGTGTCATACCTCCTTGCTGTTCTCTAATATGTTAGGTAGAACACTTGACAAATGAAAAACTAGTAAGGGCTATTAAGAACTCAGGGCCTGAATTTGATAGTTTTCTGTGTTTTAAATCCATTAATTTCGTTACAGTTACACCTAATTTACGACTATGTGAAAACCAAGCATTAAGTTTGACTTGTATTTTTAGTCTTTATTTCTAACAATTCGCAAGCTACTAGCACGATACTGTCTGCCTAATGGAGCAAATTGAAGATGAGTGACCATATATTATGTCACTGTATATTTAAAATAAATGTTTTCAGTTTTTAAAATGAAATAATGAAAGTTTTTTCATTGCAGCATTAATAAAGCATATGACTGTCATAAACTTAATTTACTTTTATAGGCACTGTAAAATGCAGCTTCGTTCTTAACAAATTAAACTTTTTTTAGAGAAAGAAGTGGAATTTTTCCCAGTGTTTCACAAGTGTGTAATAGAAATGGAAACTGGAAAAAAAAAAAATGAATTATTTCATCGGGAACAACTATGCTGAAATTCAGATTGTCCCAGTGAAATCTACAACCTAATCGGAAAATTTGTTTTACATGAATGTAATTGCATTGATGTAAATCATTCATGGAAATGAGATCAGAGATATCATGTATGGCTGTTTTTCTATTTCAGGAGTGACAGAATACACCCACAATTCTTAGTCTTCAGTTAATGAGAATCCAAATGTATGCTAAACTTTAGGCCTAGATAAATGTGTGAGCATCATTTTGTCAATGAGCCAGGACAGAAAATTTTCCTTTAAGACAATTCAATCTAATCTTCAGTGTTTTATTAAATTTACTTTGAAATCAGGTCAATGTGGTTAATAAACTATTGTGTGATGATTAGCTTTCTTACTTGTAAACATTAGTTATTAAAAATCAGGCGCAGTACAATTTACAAATACGTTCATATTACCTTTATTTTATATTGATAAGATCGTTCTGGTGGTGCTTGTTTTAATTATATAAAGAAGTCCCGAATCACTGCTCTGCATTCAGTTCCCCAGCATGTTCTGAAACCAGAATGCCAAGAAGAATGGTTCCTTCTAGCTTCTTTCTCTACTGAGTTTAAGCTTCACAGAAATCTTTGACAATAAAATCAGCATGTTAGTGAAATAATCTTAATGCTTTCATGTTTTTCTATCATATCTATTAAGTTTCATTCATTTAGAG